AATGTACCCGGGGAAATCGGACATCTGACAAACGCGGGAAAGTGTTCTAATGGCCCGTGTATTTCTTTTCATCCGGCCGCTAGTGTTCGTTCGTATCCCGAGCTGCCCAAACAGGTTGAGGAGTCTTGAATCGCCGATAATTATCGTTGGACGAGTGTCGCGGGGCTCGTGCAGCTCTCATTGAGTGGGCCGGTGAAAATGATCGAAGGCCACGGGTTCCTCATCCCCATAAGAGTGGAATTCGAGAATACTCATCGATATGGATGCTGTAATGCTCTCAGTCAGAAATGTGTCTAGCTGTAATTTCTGCATTATCGCCACAGCCTCGATTCGCGTCGTCGGCGTGGTCGGGTATCGATAATCGCAGATTATCTCTCCAGTGGGGCTTCAGCGAGGATACGGGCGTTGTATAAGTTCGCTCGAGAGATTGATGGACGTATTAACTTGGCTCGGGCGAGCCTTGCCGGTTGCCGCCTCCTCGGTGGCGGTGATGCGGCTCGGTGAGCAGCTATGACGATTGCTCCGGCCGAATGAGAGACACTTTCCTCAACACAGAGTACGGTGAGGATGCGCCGATGCGTCGTGCCGGCCTTGCCCACAATGTGTGCGAGCAATAATTCTCCCGCAAGTCTTCGCGTCATCGATGCGCTTCCCGATCTTCGCTGCGAGGAGAGCACCGAGAAGGGGATTCAACAGACGTCTGTGATTGTACCGATGCAGTCGACGATACAGCTCATTTTCTCCACAAACGTCGCGTTACGAACGACGCATTGTCGAAGGACCCGACTGACTGACTGACTGAGTGCACAACCACCGCAACGCCACTCAGCGACGAATGTACTGCTGGTGAAGGAGAGGCCTCGTCGAGTGTCGCCGCATGATTCTGACACATATCAAAACGAAAAGTATGTTCACACCCGGAGTTGAAATCCAGACCGCCAGTCGACGTATAACGCGGCGTATAAATCGGCGGTCGCCTCTCACATTTCTTCATCTTCGCGCCTCATCACGGAGTCGGTTTGCGTCCAAGGCCGTCTTCTCGCTGTTCCAGGCGGTTGCCTGACCGGCTCGCCCGCTGGACGGCCGAGGGACGAACTCGGTTGCATCCTCTGAGAGGCTGTTTCGTCGACACGCGGTGTAGCCCCCATATTTCACGTCCAAGATGGCAGCGTTTCGCAGCACTTGGCATCAAGACTCAAATGACCTCTCCTCGGTCCGGCAGGTCGGTAGAACCGTCGCCGGTCATCAACTTGGTACACTTAGGCGAGCCGCGTCGCCGACGGCTCGTGCTGTAACGTTGGGGCGAAAACGAGAACCGCTGGCAGCGCTCTAGTTCCGAGCCGAATTCGCATAGCAGCGAGGCCGCGGGAGTAAACGAGCCTGAACTGGAAAACGGCCTATAGAAATGCCCTTCCGGGTGTCATTATGAAAATTGACTCGCACAGCGTCGGAAAGCTGACTGACTGTGAGTCGGAGCACCGTCCATTTGGACTTTAGACGGAAGAGATCTCCGAACAACAACTCGTCTTACTGATGATGTAAGCTCCGCCTAATTTCAAACCATCACGAGTCCGGTTGCGTGGTAGCTCCTGCCTACATGACGTCGACCTGTGGGGGAAATTTCGGGCGCTCGGTGCTGGAGGCAATCCAGGAGCGGCTTGAGTGAAATTTTTGGTTCTTGGTGTATGCGGAAAACTCAAAGTTAAATCCGGTAATTCGCCCTCACGATACATCCTTCCCCTCTACCTCTCATTGCTTCCGCTCGAATCCCGTAGGAGTGAAGGGGGGTAATTGTGAGGAAATTTCACGTGTTTCAAGAACTCCATAACAACAAGAGTGAGTGCAATGCCATCCTTATGTGCTCCTCGGTTTAGAGAAGTTTTGGGCGGGTTTCCCTCGCGAGAAAAGAGAATAAACCGAAATAGCCTGCAGTGGATGGCGAGGAGCTTGTAAACAAAATGTATCCGCTATTTAGGGGAGGCTTCAGGCGACTTTGGACGCCGGCTGGGGTGTTCGTTCAGTAATGGTAACTGCGGCCAGGGAGTACACAGAGGAGGGACTAAATGGTTCGGAAGAAATGCTTGACGAGCTCTCGAGCCCGCCACCGCCGCCGTCCCCCGCTCTGACTGAGAGTCAAGGGCCCCAGGCTCCATGGATGGGTCCTTGACAAGCTCTGACGATCACACTTACCAGTTTTTACGGAGCCCGCTGAAGATTCAAGCTTCATCAAACCCGAAGCTATTCGTAAGAATTATGTATCGAACAATTTTATACCTGGACCGATCCTTAGATCAGCCCCGTTTCCTCGGGTCCGCGTATCCCGAGAGGTCGGTGGAACGCCGAGACCTGTGGGAAGGAACTATCGATGAACTCCGGCGGAGACCTGAACCTCATGGCGTCCGGAATCGGAATCCGAGAGATACCGAATGCTCTGTGTCGAGCTCGAGAAGGAGCACATCGAACGAAAGCTGAGCATCCGACTGGCTGAGGATCGCGGGAACCATCTCCAGACGCGCACCACCCATCAGCATCGCGGGGTCGAATCTCGCTCAATTCCTCACACGTATGACAATCGTCGCCGACGTCGAGTCGCGAAAATTATCCGGAGGTCTTGCCCCTCGGAGAAGTGAGACGCGAACCCTCCTGCTGCAGCTAATAGGTAATCTCCTCCATCCATTTAGCCTATGCGTCTTGATCGACAGACTTCATTCGTTGATGGAAAACGCTCTGACGTGGCTTGAATTTGACGCACGAAGCCTTTCAACGCCCTCTGCGTATTGCATCATTTCCAAAAATCCCTTATTCTCCATTCAAAACCGCTGCTGGGAGCTGAGAGGCTTGTGAGCGGCTGCCGCCACCGCCGCCGCGTCAGGGAGCCGTTCCATAAGGGTGCGTGCCGGCGTTCCGGGGAGTGTATTCGGCTCACGTAGTCCTCCAGTCAGCGGGTGATATCGATGTACGAGGACAACTCGCCCACCCACCCGCTATCGGTGGTGGCATTTTAAGAAAAACCGCAAAACTTCCCTTACACTGCAAAAAGCCCCACAACTGATTGCAATGGGAGTTCGGGAACTGACGCTCGAAGCGAAAGCTTCGTTATCGGAATTCTTCCCGCCATTCATGCCGTCGAGGGAGAAGAGGAAAAAAAACATTTTGTTCGGATGCCGCGGATGCGCTCTGCCGTAAATCTGTGGACGAGTCGACGTTCTTCAACTCCGATCGAAACACTTTGATTGATCCCAGCGTCAACCCGCCCGACGAGGAGAAATCCTCAGTCAGACCTATCGGAATTCTTCATCGGGAGCGACTGAAAATCGATGGGCACGTCCGACGATCCTCACGAGTCACGAATCGAGGTGTCGATCGGAATCCGTTTTCTGAGTTTCCTTCTCAGTCCGCAAAGGCTCAGACTGCGAGATGGTAATTTTGAACACAGCCGAAGGTCATGAGAGTCAAGGAAACAAAATCTCGAACGGGCGAAAGTCGATCGAGATCGGAGCTGCAGTGGCAGGCTCGGAATCCGATAATTTCAGCGAGAGCTCATCCGACCCTCCATGTCGTTGAAGATCCATCCTCCGATTGAGGTCTCGAGATGATATTTACACCCTTTTTCTCGAACGCCGATAGAGGAACCCTGAATTAGGGCTCGAATGGAAGGCGATAATTCGACGGGTCCTCTCCGAAATTCTCGAGAGACCTCGATATCATGTGATCTATTGGATTGATGTTCCGATTCCTGGGGATACCCCGATAGATTTCTGCAGGGATTTCCCGTCGTCGACGGGGAAAAAATCGTAGCCTTGCAAAAGGAGTTCCAAGGCGGCTCTGGATTCTCTGTCGGTGGGTCGTACATCCATTCCGAAGGGACAAAAACAATCGGAGGCGGAGAAGACCGAATTCGGGAAATACGCCTGACATGCGATCGCAGAATGGCTCGGTCAAGTAAAATCGGAGCGATCGGTCGCGCAATCGAGGAGAGAACGCGTGCGACCCGGAAGATCAATGACGTCGGGGGTGCTCGAAAGGCATTTCGCCAATCATAGCGCTCGAGAGATCGGCGCTCTTCGATCCACAATGTTTGCTCCAGAGAAGCAATGTTCACTGAAACCAATTCCGTTGGCATCGCTTTTGCCATCAAACGGCCCGGGGGGAATTGTGGAGCTAGGCGGAGGGAGACACGAACAAGCAAATCGTGTTTGCCCATCCACTCAACGAACAGACACAGAGAAACTGACAGACCATGAGAGGAGATGCGAGAGATAAGGAACGAGACGACTCGGTGACATCAAGATGTTGTCAACGTCTTTTGTCAACTTGCCTTTTCCATTCCCAGGCCAACTCGGGTGGCCAAAGGACGCGTCCCGGAATGAGAGGAGAATATCGGTTGGAAGGAATGCGAGATTCTCGGAGGAAAAACAGTTCGAGAATACTTTTTCGTTTGCCGTGTATCGGTCCACCCGGTCAGGGAACAGGACTTCCAAGCGTGCAGCGAGCAATGGATTGCCTGCGGAGGTCTCGCCTAGTAATGAAAGTCATCTTAATAGCAGAAAGCTGGTCTGCGGTTTCATCACCGAGTCCGTCTCCACTCCACGGCAGCACTCGGTCATTAGAATAGAAAAGCACTGAACGCTCAGTTGCGTAACCACAGGTTGTTGGCAGGTTGAGGTGACAGGTCGAACTCATTAACTTACCCCACCTACCCATCCCACCCGCCCGCCAGCCACCTACCGGTCCCCCGAGGGGCGAATAAGCCAACAAATAGCCCCGCCTACGTCATCATCAACGGCACGTAAATGTAGGGGCAGCGTGGCAGCGTCAAGTAATGGAACACGTTCGGCTCTAAGCTACGAATCGCACTGGCGTGATTGCTTCCCGCGAGAAGTATGCGAGAAAACCGAAACTGCATCAATGAAGCTGCTCTCGTCGCTCAATTGGCTGCTCGGTCCTCTCTTCATCGAATATTCGATGTTCCCTAAATTCTTTCGGAATTCCCCTTCCAGGTATTGACGTTGCCCTGTACTATGTCAGAGACGGTACCATGAACGATTATGCGCTCAAGTTCCCGGTGCCGGTGCCGGGCAACATGTCACAGATGGAGTTCACGTGGCAGAACCTTCGACCACAACAGCCGCTCTCGTATAAAATTGATACTACAACCGATAACGCTGCCGCTATGGCGCTGCCAACATTGGACATCCCGCTCACCGGTAAGAATTATTTCGCGATCGACCTCTCGAGTCGGCGCCGCCGCTGAACACGCTCATTTTCATTCACTCGGCGATTTCGTGGAGAGAAACGACCGGATTCTTGACCAGGTGTGATGCCCAGCGCTGCGCCGTCGTCGTTCACGGTTCAATTGTGGTGCACTGGAGTCAATAACGCGGAAGTTCGGCTGTCGATCAATGTGAACATCAGCAGTGCCGGCGATAAGGCCCCAACCAACATTAAGCTTCTGAGGAAAAAAGTCTGCTTTCGAGGCATGTATGAAAAGCATGCTTGATGGACTCTAGTTGCGGAAGAATCCGAGAAAGAAGCAACAGAGGAAAAAAACTGATCCACTCTGGGAGCTGTCATTACGAATTTCCTCCTCTCCGCTGTGCAGATGAAAGGAGCGATGCGGCAACGCGACTTGCGCCTGTCGCCAATGAAGATGAAGAGGAGTATGAGGACGAAGAGAGCCTTGTTCCCGAAAATGGAGGATCTACAGGATCTCCGATGGTCATGGGTAAAACTTTTGAAACTTTTCTCTTTTTCCCAATACGGAAACGGGAAGCTCGGCTATACGAGATGTCGATTTTCCGGCGGGTTTGCACCCTTGTTGTATTGGGAGCTGAACTCCGAGCCGAGCCTCCGAAAATCGACCTTGGGAGTACGACTCGAGCCAGAAGCTGATCTTCGCTCATGAAACGGTTCAGGCAGATTACTTATTATCATTGAAGGGCCAGGAGCTCACGACGAACGATTTTCGTTCCCCAGATGCGTCGACGTCGTCGGAACCCGATGGTGACGATCCCATGGTCCTCTACGCCGTCGCCGGTGCGACGGTCATGCTCGCCATGGCAGTCATGCTTGCCACGGCAGTATGTTATATCAGGACCAAGACCCTACAGACTCTTACACAACAGCAGGGCAACGTGATAATACAGGCGGCCGCTGATAAATACCTCCAGGAATGGATCACGGCTAGTTCTACGCTGCAGCTCAAAACCCCTCAGAGCAGTCGGATCTACGGCAATCTCTCATCCAATATCGATCTCTCGCTGACTCCCTCGATGGCGCAAAAATTGATCCGAGTTCCTGGAAGTCCGGTTGCGTCGACGATAGCTTCGTACTCCCCGTTCCGGAAAGCCAGTCCGCCTCCATTAACTCCCTCGCCAGCGCCCCACGGAACCCATCGATCGCTCGTCGTAAACTACTCCACCGGGCAATACAGTACCATCTACGACACTTACTCGAACAGCGGAAACTCGGTCCTATCCGAACAGCTCGTAGAATTGGCGGTTTCCTCGCACCGTTTGAACATAGTGAAACTCTTGGCAGAAGGAACCTACGGCCGAATGTACCAGGGACAGTTGAACAACGGGCTGCTGCCGGACTCCGGATCCCAGCAGGTTCTCATAAAAACGATCACTGATCTCGCCACCAAGGATCAGAAGGAGGTGTTCATGCAGGAAGGCATGACGATGATCGGTATGGACCACGCTAACGTGCTCAGCCTCCTCGGGACCTGTCTGGACGCCGCCAACGGCCAACCGATCCTGATATTCTCTTATCCTAACAAGATCCATTTGATCACTTTCTTGCGGGCCTGCAACAAGTTCGCGAAGCAGACGCTCGACGGTGGTAGCGAACGCAGCCGCTCGGAACAAGCACGGTGTCTTACCACTCAGAATCACATTGATATGGCGGTGCAAATCGCCGAGGGACTGGCTTTTCTGCACCGCCGCTTCTTTCTCCATAAAGACATTGCAGCACGGAACTGCATGTGAGTACCACGGCCGTCGGTGACAGTCTTCGCACTTTCCACTTTTTTCCGCACCATGAGAGATTCGAACCCGCAGCAGAAAAAAATTACTGGCGTTTCGCGAGAAGCGACTCGCGAGTCATGAATATCATTAAATCAAACGACATTGTCTCCGTCATCTCTGTCCCTTCAGACCGGGCGCATCCGTGTCTCGCTCGAATGTACACTTCCGCCGACTGTTCCGCAGTTTTTAATTGAATCGTTTATTTTCGAAACATCGTAACTCCACTCTGGAAAAACACCCAAAAACAATCTTCCCCCTGTAGTTTATCCCACAGGATACCGATCCTGGCTTGTGGGGCCATTTTCGAAAGCTCTTGGTGAGAGCTTTCAGAAAAAAAATATAACACCGCCCTCCCTCTCCTTCTGTGGCTACACGCGGAGAAATGAGTCTTTGGAGTTACGATGTTTTGAAAATAAACTTTTTTTCAAAACTCAGGAATCTTTATCTCGCCGTAAAAACGTCCAGGATCATCGTAGGAGGCTGTTTTTTTTTCAAAATGTAGCCCAGGTCCTCAGCTTTCCAACGAGGCGCCGCACGACCCTATAGCTCCATTCAATCAAAAGTTACGGGCGTTTTAAGAATGGACCAATCCCCATAGACTTAACATTGACCTCCGATCTGCAAAATGACTTCTCTCCCATCATGCTGTAGGAGAATATACTGAAGATGAGAACGGATTGAATGAGAGAAAGAACGCACCAATCAATGAGGAAAACTGAAGTTTATTCATTTAGCCCTCGGAATCATACTCCGAATCATCACCCAAGTCCAGATCGGCTCTGGATGCGAGTTCATCGTAGAACTCCTGGTATGGCTCTGGGATGAACTTGCGGAGGCTCTGAATGTCCGCAAGTTTTTGTTTTTTGATGGACACCCCTCTCTCTCCATATAAAGATGTCGTAGGGAGTGCCGGGGGCACAGCCGTCTTGGCCAGCAGGAATGTGATCCCCGAGCATCAAGCATCTCCGCTGTGAAAGTCGGTCGGGTGTCCATGCCTTTCGGTTCCCCCAATGCGCGCCTCGCGATGGCTTTTCAAATCACCCGCCATTCGAGAAAAAATCATTGGCGTTTGAATCAATGTTAAGTCTATGGGGATTGGTCCGTTCTTAAAACGCCCGTAACTTTTGATTGAATGGAGCTATAGGGTCGTGCGGCGCCTCGTTTGGAAAGCTGAGGACCTGGGCTTCATTTTGAAGAAAAAACAGCCTCCTACGATGATTCTGGACGTTTCTACAATGTTTTTGAGGGAAGGGAAAAACCCGTCCTGGAAAATTCCGTGTCAATGTTAAGTCTATGGGGAGTGGTCCATTCTTAAAGTGCCCGTAACTTTCGATTAAGACTCATTTCTCCGCGTGTAGCCACAGAAGGAGAGGGAGGGCGGTGTTATATCTTTTTTCTGAAAGCTCTCACCAAGAGCTTTCGAAAATGGCCCCACAAGCCAGGATCGGTATCCTGTGGGATAAACTACAGGGGGAAGATTGTTTTTGGGTGTTTTTCCAGAGTGGAGTTACGATGTTTCGAAAATAAACGATTCAAT